TTTCTGATATTTTATCACTATCTATTCATTCTACCGTGCATTATGAAATAGAAGACCGATGATAGGATCGATAATTCTTTAGGGTGACAGATGACGTTCTCGCGATGGCACGGCCGAACACCGCACAGATTATAAAGAAAGACGTAATTGCTCAGTTTCAAGGGTGGAGTATAAAAACTATAATAAATCTACAAACGCCGGGCGAACATGCGAGCTGCGGCGGTCCCCTCGAAGAAAGCGGTTTTACTTACGACCCGAATGTCTTCATGAAGCATGGCAGTAGGTATCTAAACATTAAAAAGACCTACGCTTATAAAAGAATATCTTAAAAAATATTATGTTTGTTTAAAAAAAAGGAATCATATTTACTCGAGAATTACATCGGACAAAATCTGTTTTTAATCTTCAAATAAGAATTACAATTTTATAGTTAAAAACAAAAATCGTTTAATTATAAAATGAATCATTTTTAAGCAGAAACTAAGTTTGTCCTTGTGTACCATGTAAATCGCGTTCATAGGAATCAGGTTCGACTCTGATGAGTTAGATCGAAGAACTTTAACTGAAACATGCAATGCAGCAAAATCGTGTAACCATGCAGAGGAAGCAAAGTTTCAACGATCGAATAACAACTGTTCTCGAGTCATTTATTTTAGGTACACAAAAAATTCCATTTCCGCGATTCTATCATGGCAGTCCAATTTGTTACAGTTTACTATTACAATTTCGCGTTGAAGGATTACGGAGATGCAACAGTAAGCAAACTCCTCGACATGGTCAAGGTCATGGCCTTCGCAGTGCAGGAAGGAAGAGTGGCTATTCACTGTCACGCTGGTAATTCGATCATTTTTATTAGATGCACCGACCCAATTCTTCTTCCCTCACTATTCCTCTTTCATAAATTGTCTTCGATATTCTTTTGTCAAATTATAGCCGATATATGAAACTCGTAATTGCGATGTAAAAAATCAATGAAACAGATCTTATCATGACGATGAATAGGTAGGATTCCCGTTTTAATTTAAGAAAGTAGTTATTAGGGCTTTACACGCTCCTCGTTTCGTACGCCCACTCCTTATCACAGCGTTCCTCAACAATTTGCAACCTTTAAATCTATCGATCTTAAGCCACGTGTGAAACGCGTTTACTCCCTAAGCGAGACTCGTTTTGGTGCATTGCGTGCTGCAACACGCGGCGTTGACCCGGTGTATCTGAATTTTTGCATTCATTATTATCTCCCTTGAACTTTCGACTAAGAGAGTTGCTAAAATTAGGTGTGTGTTATGTGGGTTACCGGGGAACGATGAATAATTTAAGAAAAAGCTAGCAGTCAACATTACATACATTAATACATGCTGTATTACAATACGACAAAATAGGAGAAAAATGGTTGTGATCCAACGATAAGATAAAAAGTACTTAATAAACTCTTCTCCATTATTCTATAATCAAGTGAAAGCATGTTTCCAAGCGATAAACATATATTAACTCCAATTGTACACACGAGAAATGATAAGAATGAAAGATCTGATAAAGAACTGTGGTATAACAGAAGAAGCTTCAACATGTAACTCTGCGAATTACGAACCTCAAATTTTTTTTAAAATAAATAATCGACAAGAATGCAGAGTCATATCATTTATCAATTGGTATTATTAGCATCGAGATGTTCATAAATCCTAACGCAACCTCAGTTGTATTGAATCGATCGATTGATTATTCGATAATGACAGTCTAGAGACCCGACCATGTATTTGAAGATTCGTAAATGTTACATTTATGATTCTAATTTGTAAGGGACTCGTATGCCAGAAGGACTCTACTTCTAACTATTAATCCATTGTATACACATGATCATACTGAATCGAATAGCTAACGATGTTATAACGATTAAAATGATTTCCGACGTTTTCGCAAATAGAACGATTTAGTTCTTTAATTCGTTCAATGATTCTCTCAAGGAATACACTGAATATTTTAACGAACGGATTCTTAGTCACATTCTCAAATGACAATTTACATAATCGAATAACCGAAATTCCAGACGTACTTCGCGTGCACGGTGTATGATATGATTACAAATCAGGGATACGTGTTAGCTGAACGTGAAATGTAGAGTTTATTATTATGGAAAGGATTATTCATTGTCGTAACTCTTGTTAATCCGGAAAATCGATCGGCTACGATTACGGGTTCCGATTCCAATTCACAGTTCAGCCCCGAGAATGTAATTTACTTTTCGAATTAAGCACGATCGATAGTCTTCAGACCATTCACAGATGAATATTTAAACTGCGCGATATGACAGTAGCATGTGGCATCACCAGAATACACGAGTTGGAAGCATCTAATAAATGTCAGAATACTTTTTAATTTTTTAAGCAACTCTTTATCTTTTTAATAATTACGTATGTATATTTGTAATTCAGAATTGATACATAAATTGCAACCCATTTTGGTTCTGTGCATTCTAAACTGTCAAACATGGACGAAACAATTAATTATATAGGGTTTCGGAAATCTTGAAAGACGCGTATCTTTTTCAGGACTTGGCAGAACGGGAGTTCTGATCGCGTGCTACCTCATTTATAGTCTGCGTGTGCGAGCTAACGATGCAATACGATTCGTTCGTATGAAACGACCGTGCGCAATACAAACGCGTGGCCAAATACTCTGCATCCAGGAATTCGAGCACTTTGTGCTTCCACAAATGATAGTTTTCCCTCTGAACAGCACAATAGGCGATCGCAAGCCCTGTAGCTTGCAGTCGCATTTGAAAAAACAGCACAACATTCTGCACGGATATGAGCAGCGCACATTTAAATATATTCCAAAGGTCTTTTTATTTCTATTCATAATGATCGACCATGAATTCCAAAATATCATGATTGAAACTGATTGAAATAAATTACTTATTAGATCGTATTCACGATTTGCGAACGAATTCTTCAATTGTGTGATTGTCAGGAAGACAATTCCCCTTGCGAGATTCAGTATACGATTTCCAATACGACTTTTACGCAAAAATTCATATCCCACGTTTTGGACAAGATGAAAGATAGCAAGGGGAATATAAAACACTCTTATTCGTGGACCGAGTCCCTTGCCGATTCGTACGATTGCTCCAGTAAGAAATAAGGAAAAATCGAGTTTCAAGTAATCAAAGTAATTATAAAAAGTTTTCAACTTTTGTAATTATCTAGGTTCTACAAAAGCTTGCGCAAGTGGTAGTCAAGCATCTTCGAGAGATACTTCCGACGATATTGGTAGATTAAGCGACGTGTTCTGTACTTCCCCAGACACCCCGTTCTCCGACTCTACATTTCTAGGTACTCCAACCATAGTTGGTAATTAGGTATTCTTATTAAGCGAGATGGAAAACAATATTTTTTATAGGACTTGATGATAACTATGTAGACGATGTCTTAGGCGACGGAATTCACGAACAGGATCTCACAGAGAATGATTGTTACAAAGAAATTCAATCTCACATAGATTTAAAGGTTGCTGCTGAGAATACATCCCTTGAAATTGTTAGCGCTGAACAAGCAATCAGAGCCCTGGTTAGAGACAATGCCACTTTACCCGACAAAACAAAAAAGCGTATCCAAAATTATCAGGTAAATAATAATATGCTCTCAATCTATCGAAGAAAGTATAAAATTGCTCCCTTTATTTCCAGATGGATTTGAATCACCGATCTTCGGCCTGGCAGAGAATACAAATGGAAACAAACTTGGATATCTTGTCGGGATTATTATTCGAATGGCTAGAGACATTGAAACATCCTTTACTGGACGTAGACAGTTTGAGTTACATCGTTGTCTGGAGTACTAAACCCCAAAAATGTTTAGAAAAGTTGCCTACTTGTAACAGATATTTATTGGAATATCTGTTACGATTCATCTGTCGGTTGAGACCGATGACTATCGAGAGTCAAAGCCTAATCACGAAGAGGTTCATGGCTACCCTCACGCAGCAAAGTACATGGATCAAGAACAACTTCTACCCTTCCAGTAAATATTAGAAAAGAGATTTTCAATAAGTTTGTTAAAACTAAAGACAAAGTTAAGAGATATCAGATTTCTTTTAAAGTTGACAGTGCAAAGTGGATAAACATTTATTCCTGAATAGATAATTGCTTCATACATGTTTCACGAAGATATACGACGATTGCCTCTACGTATAGTCAACGTATGCATATTCGTTCGACAAATGCACAGCATAATTGATCGCCAGAAATATTGATTTCACTGTGTCATGCAACATCGTCCTATTTATATTGTCAATAATTGTGGCATATGGTGACTAAGCGAAGCATGATAACAAACGCCTGAATATTATACTATTAATTTAATCTCAACTTTCGCAAACTATTCTATCAATCGTTCTAAGTGGAAGCAATGAATTTCTATCATTATTGGTATATACCAGAGATG